TTCCTTCTAAGTGACCAACTTGGTCTCTTTCCTTTGCTTTTTTTCTCATCTTTCTATCTGGTGTTAAATTGTTTCCCTTCTGATGAAATGCATAAGGGTCCTTTTCTTGTTGGAAGAGAGCTCTGAGAAAGCATGTTGCTCTATGCTGGACTCTAGACTTCGTGTTGCTCTGTCTTGGCCAGCATAGTGCCTTTGCAAGCCCACTGCTGCTCATGCTCCAGCCACAAAGTTGGCACAAACCTCCACCATGCTGAACCCTCACTAGATTTTCACCACCTGAATCATCAGCCAAACTAAAGAGCTACTTCTTTGGAAGAATGAACACCACACAAAGGAATACTATGCTTCCATCAGAAAGAATGGCATTGCCCCATTCATAAGGAAATAGACTTGGAAATAAATGAAGTAAGCCAGACCCAAAGAAACATAGATCCCATGGTTTCCCTCATTTGTAATAGTTAGCGTAAGTCTAGAATAGTCCTAGCAGAGTACCACAATAGTCCAATAGCTATATACATATGACCATATAAGATGATACTAAGCAGAATGAGCTCCAAGATATATAAACAAGAGGTTTTACTTTATTGCTGTGGTTTTTAAAGAACTGTGTGAAGTTACTTCTTTTTCCTTAGCTTTTTTCTCCCTATGGTTTATCCCCTGTTGTCACTATATTTGTTTTGGTGTCCTATGTCTTGTATAAATGTTTATCTGAATTAGAGAAGGGAAGGGGAACAAAAATGGTTAGACAAAGAACAAATGGGAACCAATGCAACAGTGATACCAATGTTGGAAATGATCTTTACAATTTTTGGAGGGTATGGAGGAAAAGTGGGAGAAAAACGAGGGAAGGGGTAACAAGTTTTGACAAGAAATGGTCATTACGTATGTAATGGTAACCCCTCTGTACATCACCTTAACAATAATTTTTTTAAACACAGGTGAAATAAATTTAAAAAAAAAACCAACAGTGTACATACTGAGAAATATGTGCCTGAAACTCCAGAACATACAGAACTCACTACATGCTCTATTTTCCCTAGACATACAAACAAATTGGGCACATGAAGAGATTAACAACTGATAATGTAGAACAATTCTGATAATATACTGTAATAATAGATACATGAAAGTGGTCTCTTTCTTCGTTTCTAAAACTTTGCATACAATATTTTCAGAGTGCAGTTAACTGTGGATAACTGAACCCAATAAAAATAAAACTAGCCAGGTGCCAGTGGCTCACACCTATAAAACTAACTACTCAGAAGGCTGAGATCTGAGGATCATGGTTCAAATCCAACCCTGGTAAGAAAGTCATGAAACCCTTAACTTCAATTAACCAGCAGAAAACCAGAAGTGACGCTGTGCCTCAAGGGGTAGAGCACTAGCCTTGAGCTGAATAACTCAGGGACAGCATCCAGGCCCAGAGTTCAAGTTCCACAGCTGACCAAAAGAAAAAAAGAAAAGAAAAGAAAAATAAAAGCATAGGGGAAAGGGAATTCTCTAAGCCTAACAGATTTCTAGATGCATGGTTAAGAGAAATACAGCACTAAAGTAGTCTTGAACTAATACATTATGCTTTTGAAAAATTACCTGCAACTGCTATGAGTGCTGCAGCTGAGCTTCATAGTTCCCAATGTTACTACATCACCTGACTGCCTTCAGAGACAACCTTGGAGGGCAGATGATCTCACCGCCATCTCCATCACACACTGCCATCTTCATCACCCAATGCGAGCTCCATCACAGCCTCAGTGCCATCAACAGCACACAATGTCAGCTCCATCATACACTGTCATATCCATCACACATTGGCATCTTCATCACACAATGACATCTCAATCACAGCCTCACTGCCATCTCCATCACACATTGCCATCTCCATCAAACACTGCCATCTCCATCATAGCCTCACTTTCAACTTCACCACACATTGCCATCTCCTTCACATATCTCATCTCCATCATTCACTGAAATCTCCATCACACACTGACATCTCCATTACACACTGACATCTCCATCACACACTATTTGCATCACACACTGTCATCTCTGTATCACACTGTCATCTCCATCACAACCTCACTTCCATCTTCATCACACACTATCATCTCCATCACACACTCTCATCTCCATCACAGCCTCACTGCCATGTCTATCACATACTGCCATCTCCATCACACACTGCCATCTCCATCATTCACTGATATGTCCATCACACACCGACATCTCCATCACACACTTTCATCTCCATCACAGTCTCACTGCCATCTCCATCACACACTGCCATTTCCATCACACACTATCATATCCATCACAGCCTCACAGTCATTTCCATCACACACTGTCATCTCCATCACACACTGACATCCCCATCACTCATTCTCATCTTCATCACACACTGTCATCTCCATCACAACCTCACTGCCATCTCATCACTCACTGTCATCTCCATGACTCTGACAATTTCATCAAGGCCTCACTGAAATCTCCACCATGGCTGCCCCACCTCGTGGCAGACTCTTAAGTCTCTATCTGGCCAATGGCCCAGGCAGGACTTGAACCTAAAGACAACCAAGTGCTCAGAGATCAACAAACCTTTATTTTTTGCTCTTGCTCTCGTTGTTGCCCTGTTTATAGTGAGAACTATTGGTGGTGCCTTTTTTTCATGAGGATTAAGGGAGTTAAAAATCTTGTTCTCTATAAAAGACCAATGTTGCACCAGTTGCAACATGCCCTTTCCTCTCTTTAAAAGTGTTCCAAGCCAGGCGCTGGTGGCTCACTCCTGTAATCTCAGATATTCAGGAAGCTGAGATCTGAGGATTATGGTCCAAAGCCAGCCAGGGCAGGAGAGTCTGGTGAGACTCTTATCTCCAATAAACCACTAGAAAACCAAAGTGGCGCAGTGGCTCAAATGGTAGAGCACTTGCCTTGAGCGGAAGAGCTGAACAGCACCCAGACCCAGAGTTCAAGCCCCACAACTGACCCCCAAAAAAGTGTTTCAAACCTCGTCTCACTGTTGGCAAAGAACCATCTAGGACTTGCCACTGCCTTGGGGCCCAGACTCTGCAGCCACGCAGCAGGTCTGTGCCCATGCAGCACCCCCAACCTCTCAGAGTGGCAGTGCCATGAGCCCTCCTGCATTGGCTCCATTCATTCTGCAACGTTGGCACCCGCAGAGCCATTTCCGGCAGCAGTTCAGAGCCTGTGCTTGAGAATCTTCTACTCACAAGGGGAGAACTTGAACACTTCCCTACCCTCAGTCTCAGGGGCCTTTGCAAACCAAGACTAGCAATTCCACACCCTCAGGTTGCTGTGATGTTCATCTGGATAACTTGTGAGGAACATTTAGCTCCGCCTGGCCATTACTGTGTTCTTTTTTTGACAAATAAATGTATTTATGTATTGTTTATGTGGTACCAAAGAATCAAATCCAGGGTCTCGTCTAGGCAAGCCCTCTACCACTAACCCACATTCCTTGCCCAGCAGGTAACAGTCCCCATGGTCCTCCCTGAAGACCAGCCTTGGGCTGGGGACAGAACCCAGAGGAGACCAGCCTTGGGCTGGGGACAGAACCCAGGGCTTCTAACCTGCTAGGCATATTCTGCCACCTGAGCCATGTCCCTAGTCCTTTTCTGTTTGCTTTGCATTTGAACAGGCTCTCATCACCTTTACCTGGACTGGCCTCACACTCTCGCCTTCCTGCCTCTGTATCTGGAGTAGCTACAATTACAGGCATATGCCAGCACATGCAGCTGTAACACGATTTCTGACTCCAGCATGGTGAATTGTCACTGAAAGTAGCCTTGCTACTTTTCAGCAAGTGGGTGTGGGTACTGTATTTGCAGCATTGCAAGAATTGGCTTTTAAATGAGCTGTGGGGTGATTTGGGTAGAGTGCAACTGCCACCTAGTGTCACTTTTGAGAATGACCAACAGTCAACACGACATGGGGGGGGGGGGGATGTTTATGAATGACCAGCGGTCAGCAAGGCTGGGAGAATTTCTGTGAGTGACCAGTGGTCAGCAAGGCTGAGGGTTGGTTTGTGAGTGACCAGGGGTCAGCAAGGCTGGGGGTTCATTTGTGAGCAACCAGGGGTCAGCAAGGCTGGGGGTTCATTTGTGAGCAACCAGGGGTCAGCAAGGCTGGGGGTTCATTTGTGAGTGACAAGTGGTTGGCAAGGCTGGGGGGACATCTGTGAGTGATGAGTGGTCAGCAGGCTGGGGGTTCATCTGTGAGTGACCAGCAGTCAACAAGGCTGGGGGTTTGTTTGTGAGTGACCAGTGGTCAGCAAGGCATTGAGGGAGGGGCTAAGAAAACTTGGAATCCCATTAACACCATTTGAAAAACAAAGAGCAATGCCAGCCTCTGAGCTGAGCAAGAAGTCCACTCCTTTCCTCCATCTGCACACTCGAGACAGAGACAGTAGATTATGTCCTTGGCCCAATCACATTTCTTACTGATAAGGCTACCATCAGAGCATACTCTTTAGGGTGTGAGAGCTAGCTACGCTTTCAGAGATGAGCCTCAGGTTAGAATCCCAGGCTTGCCCAGTGCAGGACCTCAAGGGCTGCTCCCTGCAGACTGGGCCTGAAGGAACAAGATAGATCCAGGGGAGGAGCGCATGCTGGGCAAGAGAACTGGGGAGTAGCAAGGATTACGCAGGCTATGGAGAGGAGCAAGTGAAGGTGACAGAACAGAGATCCAGCTGGGCACTGGCGGCTCACACCTGTAATCCTAGCTACCCAGGAGGCTGAGATCTGAGGATTGTGGTTCAAAGCCAGCCTAGGCAGGAAAAGTCCAGGAGACTCTTATTTCCAATTAACCACCAGAAAACCAGAAGTGGTGCTATAGCTCAAGTGGTAGGACAGTGTCCAGGCCCAGAGTTCAAGATCCATGACTGACAAAAAAAAACTGAGACCCAGTCCAGACACACAACCAAGGGTTCTGCCAGCCCCACAGAGAATTAGAAATTAGCATCAAGACTTTCCAAGTGTTCATGCATGCTTCTGTAGCACATAGGCCAATATTGAAAAGACCCAGGAAGATCAGCATGGTCCCTGCCCAAGCTAGACATGAGAACTCTAGAGTGCTCACTGTTAACTGGTTGGCCTGGGTACTAAGTGTTAGCGGGGTTTGACTTTGTTCGCCTGTCTCTTCCTAACACTTCATAGCAAATATGATAAACATACTGAGTGCTAAAAGCCAAAAAAGATAGTGAACGTTGCCATATAGGAAGAATGTTAGATGTATTTGTATATCCCTACAATACTTCAGTTGTGACTTTGTATCTATACAAGCTTTCTCCTTTATTAACTACTCTGTTTTCTTAAAATTCTATTCTTGGGGAAGGTCCTCATAGCTCATACCTTTAATCCTAGCTACTCCGAGGGCTGAGTTCAGAGGATTAAGGTACCAAGCCAGCCCAGGCAGGAAAGTCCATGAAACTCTTATCACTAATTAAGCATCAAAAGAAGCCAGAAGTTGAACTGTGGCTCCAGTGGTAGAGTGCTAGCCTTGGATAAAAAGCTCAGGGACACAAGCCCCACAACCGACAAAAAAAAAGCTCAGGGACAGCATTCATGCCCTGAGTTCAAGACCCAGGACTGGCACTGGCATGCAAGCGCGCGCGCGCACACACACACACACACACACACACACACACACACACACACACAGCCTATTATTTTGCATTCCCAAACCTTAACTAGTTCTCTAACCCTAATATGTTCCCTAACACGTCCCCTAACAAGTTACCTAACTCTAACACACTACCTAATCTTAACTCTAACCCATTCCCTAATCCTAACACATTCCCAAACCCTAACTAGTTTGCTAACTCTAACTAGTTCTCTAACGCTAATATGTTCCCTACACATTCCCTAACCCTAACACATTCCCTAAGAAGTTCTCTAATCCTAATATATTCCCTAACCCTAACTAGTTCTCTAACCCTAACTAGTTCTCTAATCTAACATGCTCTTTAACATTCCCTAACAAGTTTTCTAACCCTAACATATCCCCTAATCCTAACACATTTCCTTACCCTAACCTTAACTTATTCCCAAACCCTAACTACTACTCTAACTCTAACATGTTTCCTAACATGTTCCCTAACCTTAACACATTCCCTAAATCTAACCCTAATACATTCCCTAATCCTAACACATTCCCTAACCTTAATGTATCCCAAACCCTAACTAGTTCTCTAATGATAACGTTCCCTAACATGTACCCTAACACATTCCTGAAACCTAACTTTAACACATACCCTAATCCTAATACATACCCTAACCTTAATATATTCCCAAATCCTAACTAGTTCTCTCACCCTAACAAGTTTTCTAACCCTAGGATGTTCACTAACCCTAATCCTAACATGTTCCCTAACCCAAACCCTAACCATAACACATTCCCTAATCCTAACACATTCCCTAACCCTATCATATTCCCAAGCCCTAGTTCTATAACCGTAACATGTTTTCTAACCCTAGAATGTTCCCTAACCCTCACACATTACACTGTAACATGTTCCAAAACTCACTAGTTTCCTAACCCCAACAGGAACACATTCCCAAACCATAACTAGTTCCCTCATCTTAACAAGAACACATTCACAAACTCTAACTACTTCCCTAACACTAATCCCAACCCTAACATGTTCCCTAATCTTAACCTTAACCCTAACTATAACACATTCCCAAACCTTAACCAGTTCCCTCACCCTGACCAGAACAGGTTCCCTAACTCTAACCCTAACATGTTCCCTAACCCTAAACATAACACGATCCATCACCCTAAGCATAACATAGTCCCTAGCCTTATCAGATTCCCTAACACATACCCTAACTCCTAATCACAACACATACCTTAACACATGCCCTCACTCTAACATGTATCCTAACCAAAACACAAACCATAACCTAACCCCTACATTCCATGTATCCTAACATATATCCTAATGCATAACACGTGCTCAAACATATACCCTAACATGTACCCTTACCCTAACCCCCTAACTCTAACATATACCCATAACAAGTACCATGGCAAGTACTCTAAACACTAACATCCTATTAAGTACCCTAAGTATTGTAAACCATTCAGGTATCCTTACATACGCTCAAGCATACCTTTTGAATATTGACACATGCCCTAACCTGTGCCCTTAACATGTATTCTAACACATACCTTAACACATACCCTAACATATGTCCTAAGTCTAACACAAAGCCTCTGCGGTGTACCATAAACCTTACTCTTATCATAATACACACCATAACACATACTCTAAACACTAACATGTATGGTAACAATTACTCTTACATGTACTTTGAACCATTCAGGTACTCTTACATGTACCCTTACATGTACTACAAGCAGACACTAATGTATGTCCTAACCCAAAGATAAATCTTAGCAGATACCATAACATATACCCTAACCATAGCATGTATCCTAAACACTATCACGTATTATAAAACCTTACATACACCCTATCCCAATACACATCCTAAAATGTTGCCCAACCAAAACCATAATGGTAACCCTAACATGTACCCTAAATCTACCAGATGCCCTAACAAGTACTATAACATGTACTTCAAGTCACGAATGTACCATTATATGTACAATAACGTCCACCAAACATGCCCTAACATGTAATCTGCTCTTATCCTAACAAGTACCTTAACATGTACTCAAAACCACAGAAGTACCCTTGCATACACTGTAACTTGTACCCCAAAGTAACCTAATATGCCCCCTAATATGTGCCCTAAATTTAACACAGATCTCTACCATAACACATTTTCCAATCATATTTTCACTCTAACACACTAAAAATGCTCTAAACACTGACATATGGTAACAACTACCTTAATGGGTACTCTATAAATCATACAGGTAAACCCTCACATGCACCCTGAATGTGCTCTAACATACCCTAACTCTGACCTTAACATATACACTAACATGTACATTAACCACTTTCATGTACTGTAACAGGGACCCTAATACATACTCTAAAAGATACAAGAACCCATACATATATCCTTACATGTACACGAAACATGCACTAACCTAAACGTGTACCTAACCCTGACATGTTGCTTTAACACACACCCTAATATACTCCAACAAGTACTCTATCCACACAGGTTACCTTACATGCACCTAATGTGCCCTAAAACATACAATAACCCTAACAAAACATGCTTAAGGTAGGTCCATGTTTCCAGAGATACATGGCACTTAATCCCCACCTATAGACTCACATGTGTACACCTGGAAGGTGTGTGAACAGAGTGAAAGCTCAGCTGACTGTTCATTCCAGTCTCTAGTCTCCCCCAAAGTTAGGCATAGTGGGGCCCACACTATCAAGCATGGTAGGGCAAAGACTCTGAGCAAACCAACCCCACAACTGCTGAAGGCCATTAGACTGACCAGACACATTGTAAACCATACAGGTTTGAAATCATATCCCCTAACTCTAACCCAACTCATAATCCTAAGAGATAGCTAACATATGTGCTAACCCTAACACATACCTTAACATTAACATGTTCCCAAACCCTAACAAGTACTCTAACATATACTCTAAACCATACATGAACAATAACATGTACCCAAACCCTAACAAGTACCCTAAAACATACTTAAACCATTCATGTACCCTTACACATACTCTAAACCATACATGGTCAATAACATGTACCCCAAACATTCCCTAACTCAAACCCAAATCATAACCCTAAGAGATACCATAACATGTGTGCTAATTTAACACATACCTTAACACTAGCATGTACCCTAAAATGTACCCAAACCCTAACAAGTACCCTAACATGTACTGTAAGCCACACAACTATCCTTCTATACACATTAACATGTACCCTCAAATGTACTCTACGACATACTCTACCACATACTGTAACACACATCTTAACCCTAATGCATACCGTAACCTGTACTCTAACACAAATAACTCTAACATGTATCCCAACACATACCCTAATTATTAACACATACATTTACAATTACCCTACCACATGCTCTAAACCATACAAGTAATCTTACATGCCTCCTAACATATATCACCAGTGTACCTTAATACATACTCTAACACACACCCTAATCCAAAGCGTAACACATATACCCTACTACAAACCCTACCACATAGTTTTACAGGTACCCTAACAAGTACCATAACCTTAATACATACCCTAAACACATACTCTAAACATGAACACATGTCCTAACAGGTACCCCAGCAGGTACTATGAACTATACAAGTATCCTTACATGTTACCTAACATGTGTGTGCCCTAATATAAGTACACTAACATGTACTCTTACCATACGTGCCCTAACCTTACCCCAAACAATAACCCTAACCCATACTCTAACGTTTTGCCTAAACTCTAAGATATAGTCTAATGTGTACCCAAACATGTACTCTAACACAGTCTAACCATTAACACATAGCCTAACAAGTACGCTAATGAGTACTTTTAAACATACATGTACCCTAATATGAACCTTAGCATGTACCCTAAACACTAATGCACCCTAGCAAGTACCCTAACAAGTACTCTAAACAATACAAGTACCCCAAATAAATCCATGTCACATCCTAATACATGCCTACTCTAACACATATTCTAAACTCTAGCATGTATCATAATAAGTACCCTCATATGTACTCGAAACTATACAGGTACATTACCCTAACATATACCCTAAGCCAAAGCCTAACCATATACCCAAACCATAACATGTATCCAAAGATGTATTCTAATACTACCATGTGCTCCAAACTTTACATGCACCCTAACAAGTACCCAAACATATGTACACATACATTAACATATGCTCTAACCCTAAGCCAAACCCTAACAAATATCCTAATACATATCCTAACCACAATACATACCTTAACCACTACCATGTACTCTAAACCTCATATGCACTCTAACAAGTACCTAATATGTCCAGAACTATACCATAACACACGGCTTAATCCTAAACTGTGCCCTCATAGTGCCCTAACCCTAACACATAACTTAACCCTAATACATAGCCTCACTCTTAACATATATCCTAA